TGGAGGCAGCTTACAGTTGGGAGGACCCTGCCTCTTCGAGTCATGTCTTGTTTTGTGCATACTCAGAAGCATTTTCTGGCCAGGAAGATGCTCAGCTGACAGCGGCTTGCCCGAAATGTTCTCTGAACTGACGTCTTGGGTTGTTCGTCAAAAGCCTCCGCTCCTAAGTCAAGGTCGTCAAGGACTTGAACACCGGCCAAGTGCATTGGGCAGTTCAGGCAGTACCGCGTGCAGTTCCCACACCTGTGCCGCAAGAAGGCAGGCCTTCCTTACTGCGTTTATTCAGTCCATGCTGACACGCCGAGGGTGCCTAACCTGTTGCAAGTAGGTGTCAGAACAGTCTGCAAACTCCCGATGCATTTTCCGACTGCTTTGCACACCTAACAGCAGGGATAGAGGTTAAACAAAGTAGGCATCAAACGCAATTTTTCCCTCGATCAAAAAACCTCGAATAAAACGCAATTTTGCGTTGAAATCCGTCAGAATGCAGGGCGAGAAAAAGAACCAAAGACAGCAAGGGGCACCAGCAAGCGGCACCAGGAGACCACCATCGAAGAGAGTGGTCACATTGCACCCCAGCCATGGGGCGTGCTGCTCTGCGAGCGGACAGCAAGTTTGGACACGAAGCAGACGCAGGGGACAGCCGTGAGCTGTGAACTACGGGCACAACAAAGCCTGCTCAGCACTAAGCTCGAAAGCTTTGAGTGCAAAAGCTAGGCCGTATTATCGATGGCCGTCAGCGAAGAGCTGGGCAACAGTTTTTACGATACCGAAGATACCGTAGGAGGCGAACATTTCCATGACACCACAGGAATCAGGTTTATGTTGTGCCGAAGAAAAGGGTTCGAGGTCAGTTGTGTACATGAAGAGACTCCCAACCTTTGTCCCAATTTGCTCCAGTGACCTTTGCCATGGGATTTTGCATGACAGCATAAGCGGCGTGCCCAAGGTAAGATTGACAGAGCCGTGAATTACGAGTGTTAGTGCGTTTCCTCAAGCAGCTAACTTTGCAGCAGAAACCGGGACACGGAGTTGTTGCACGTTTGCGGTGCATTCGGTCTTGCAGCCGAGCCCATCTTCTGAGAATTGGGGATGGGGCAGCTCGGATGAGCGGAGCGCAGGGACTGGCAGAACTTCAACACGTGTTTTTGCTCCCTCACCCCTAAATTTGTCAGATGGACCTAATAGCATGAGATCAAGCGGGTGGGAGAATGGCATTAAGTCGACCTTAACCCACCTAACCGGCTGTCCCTGGATTGTCCGATGGAAGCTGGCGCGATCCGATACCCTTGCACTTCCAGACCCTCTTGCGGCTGCAGGCGACGAGCCTGCTGTGCCAGTTCCTCGCGCCTTCATGCGAGGCTCGTGGATTCGATGTTGCCGAGTGTGGCTGAAATCTACCTCTGCGGCCAGTGCAGATTCTAAAGGCTTCTGCCTCTCTTTGCCTTTCGGGAAACAGCAGAGTCGGCGGCACACTACTTCTTGTAGTCCATCCTCTGGCACAAACGTCGGGAGAAGATGCAATCTAGCAAGCTTTTATACAATTCATAAGTACAATGCACGGCTTTCAGTCCGACGAGCCGACTCCGTCTCGTCGCGGCCACTGGGCGTGTTCTGCAGCTTTGTGACTTCAGTGCTGAGACAGGTTCTGCTGGTGGGGAGTCTTGGCCGCAATACAGGTCATGGTTCAAACTGCGCCGTTACTGAATGGCGGTCTGACCCAGGCATGTCTCAGCGGTGAGGAGGGTCCCGAAGAACGCAACGAAGGCAAAGTGCTTCCGTGGCCTGGCAGCAATTCGAGGAGAGAGCTCGACTTGACTAGTCGGGAGGCTCTGGACATAGTCTCTCACGCTTGTTTGTATCATGTTGTGTGAGAGCCAGGTTTCTGGTCCGAAACTTGGACACAGGAGTCCTGTCTGATTTCGGCATGCACAGTTCTCGTTCTGGGCAGGCACCGGATGAATTATCGTCTGGCGGACATCCAAGGTGAAACTAGCATTTTGAAAAGGGCTTTCTTTCAATACCGTGACGAGATTCACAGCTCCCCGGCTTTTCTGGCTAAAGAGGCAGAGTTGTTGCTTGCTTTCGCCTCACGGTCGCTGGTCGCTGGCAGCTCGCTGAGGACAAGCTCAAGCCAAAGCAGGGCCTGTCGTGAGACGACAGTCTGAAGCCGGCTATTGAGTTTGGATTGGATTGTGCGGGCACGTCAGTGTGCTGGCTGTGGCACTTTTTAAGACAGCAATTAATCGGACTACTGAGCTACTTGTACTTCTGGTTGGCATTTGCCAGCTGATCCTGGTCTTGTGCAGAACCAGACCACAGTTTCACTTGACTATAGCTGCTGCGGTTCATGGCAGCTGCAGAAGGGCTACCCCGCTACACGTCAGTGCCGGTGCGTGCCATGAACAGCAGCTGAAGAAGAAGCCATCCCCAAGCGCGCAGCCAGTACCATGGAAAGGGGAAGGCAGTAAGAAGTTCGTTGCTTTTCCAAGTGGGTCATGATCGAAGTCTCCAGTTCATTGTGTTTGTCTGTCTGTTTCGGCTCAAAGCCACGTTCTTGGCGGCATGCTGGAGATGGGATTCGCAAGCAAGCCTTATTCTCGGCGTATTCCTGGCTCTGTGAGCCCGATGCCGCGCTTTCTGATTGTGGTAGCACTGACCCTACCTGTGTCTGGAAGGGGACATTGCACGTTGGATGGCAAGGCATCGCACCACGACCTGGGCATTGAGGCCGTGCAGGCGATGAGCAAGTCTGCTGCCCAGCCTTCTTGGCAAGAGTCGCTCTTCCTTAGCATTCCATCGAACTCTTCAGCCCGTGCGTCTCTGGAATTCATAACCAGCAAACCACATGTTGCCGGAACGGTCGGCGACCTGCACATGGCCGAGTATGTGCGAGATTCTTTTCGGAAGGAGGGGATCACTGCAGAGCTCGATCCGCAGAAGGTGCTTCTCACGTATCCAATCCGAAGTGCTCTGCAGCTTGTAGACAGCACCGGACGCGTGGTGTCTGCAGCCAAGCTGGCCGAGGATGTGCTTCAGGCGGACAATACTTCCGACACATGGTGGAGAAACCACACTTTCAATGCTTTCTCGCCCTCTGGGGACGTGACCGCTCCAGTGGTGTACGCCAACTTCGGCCTTCCAGAAGATTTTGCTGCTTTGAAAGCTGCTGGTGTTGACGTGCGTGGGACAATTGCATTGATGCGTTACGGAAAATGCTTCCGTGGCCTGAAGGCAATGAATGCGCAGAAGGCCGGTGCCCTCGCAGCTGCAATCTATTCGGACCCTGAGCAAGACGGCTACGCCCAAGGCAGTGTGTATCCTTACGGGCCATGGAGGCCCGAGAGCAGCGTGCAGCGAGGATCAATACAGTTCATTTCCCTGTGTGCCGGAGATCCAACTCGAGCATATGCCCCTCACGGCAAAAGCGTGGAGGAACTCTGTGGTTACAGTCGGGAAGAGCTCATTCCCCAGATTCCCGTCCTGCCCATCTCCTATGGGGATGCGGCCATTTTCCTGGACTCACTGGGTGGCAAGGAGGCACCGGCCTCCTTTAAAGGCGCGCTCAACATCACTTATCGCACCGGTCCGACACAAATGCAGTACAAAGTGAGGATGCAGGTGGAGAATCACTTCCAGTCTTCACCTGTTTGGAATGTCATTGGGAAGATTCCGGGGACGTTGCCAGCTGACCTTGATCAACCAGTCCTTTTGGGAAACCACCGCGATGCTTGGGTGTATGGAGCTGCAGATCCAAACAGTGGAACTGCACAGTTGCTGGAGGCCGGGAGGGTTGGATGTCGACTGAGCATTTTCTGCATGGTATTCCATTGTTTCTTTACTAGAGGCCGGGTAGTATGAGTGTGCTTGGCAGCAGGTCGCCAAAGGTTTGGGTGAACTGCTACGCCGTGGATGGCGGCCTCTACGCAGCATCTACCTGTGCTCTTGGAGTGGGGAGGAGTATGGGCTGTTGGGCTCAACTGCATGGGGCGAGGTGAACGGAGACGGTTCGGGTGCCTTGCTGAAGCGCGCAGTGGCTTATCTGAACGTCGATGTTGGTGTCTCAGGGGCCCACTTCCGAGCTGCAGGAACCCCGTCCCTCGCACAGCTGCTCTCTGGCGTGTTAGGACAAGTCCGCCACCCTGCCTCTCAAAAACCTCTCTCCGAGCATTGGTCTGGCAGATTGTACTCCCTCGGTTCAGGTTCGGACTATACCGTTTTCATTGACCGCTTGGGCATACCCTCGCTTGACATGTCCTTCACGCCAGGGGATGCCCATTATGGAGTCTACCACTCGGTGTACGACTCCTTTAACTGGATGGCAACGGAGGGCGATCCAAACTTCACGTACCACGTGGCCATGTCACAGGTTTGGGGGCTGGCTGCCCTTCGCCTTGCCGGCTCTGACGACCGCGGAAATCTGCCGCTGCCGCTGAACCTGTCAATTCAAGCTCAGGCCATCAGCTCTTATATAGCGGAGGCCAAAGAGACTCTGAATCACACGGCAGAGGAAGGAGTGCACTTCGAGCCCCTCGAGCAAGCCTGTGCAGCCTTCCTTCAGGCTGCGGATAAGTCTTCAGCAGAGGCCGATCGCCTGCGGAAGCTTGGCCCTCCAGCTTTCGATGAGATCGTAGCCTTTAATGACAAGATCGGCCTTCTGGAGCGTAGTTTCTTGATGGAGTCCGGGTTGCCAGGCCGAAAGTGGTTCCGGCATTGCCTGCAAGCTCCAGGTTTATACACAGGCTACGCAGCCAAAACTCTCCCAGGCATCACAGAGGCAATCTCTGCCAAAGACTGGCAGCTAGCCCAGGCCCAGATTCAGGCTTGCGCAGAACGGATCTGGTCTGCAGCCTCTGCCTTAAGCGATGTGGGCCTCGTCATCGCTGTGTGATACTTGTTGTTCAGGGACATGCTGACGAACACCATTTGGAAAATCAAGCCCGAATGCTTCAAATGCTGGCGGGACGTGCGTGGTCACTGCCTGTGCATTTTGCTCGCAGGCCTTCTCTGAAGCCGCTGAAAGCCTGGTGGCTGGAGAACTGGTGGACAGCTTAGACACCCAGAGATGCCCAGGCAATCAAACATGAAGTAGCTGCCAGCTTTGCCGTCAAACAGCATGTTTCGCAGGCACAAATCTACCAGTTGGTGAAGGCAGGAGATTCGTTGCAATTGTGATGGTCGGTTGGGCGCGCCACGACCTAGCTGAAACCTTAAATCTGATCAAGAATCAAGCGTTTTCTCCATTTGTTTATGCCATCGCAAGGCCAAGAGCGACCGTATGTCGCAAAAAGAGGCAGAGTTGCCATCGGCCCAGTTCGCAGCATACCCACAGTTGCCCTGAATTGGCCCTTCATATAGCTACTGCCATCGCTCTAGTCTGAGGCATCGCAGCGAGTGCGTGGTTGCAGAAGCGGCGCCCGCCTCAGAAATGCTTTCTGGAGCACTGAAGATGTTGCATGATTTGAGACGCTGGTTGCGTGTAGCCGTGACTAATGTGCAGAGTACGAAGTCGCAGTGATGTCTTCGAGGGAGACCGTCTTGCTTTGGCTGCTTTGCTGTCAGGTTGTTGCAGCCAAGGCGGGCGAGGGAAGACACAACGTCTTTTTCGATTGAAGACTTGGAATCAATGGTGGATAGATCGGAGGGGTTCTCAACATGGGGTCGTTGCAGCTCCTGTGGCAGTCGTGCAAAAGGGCAGCCAGCATCGCAGGTTCATTTGCGCGAAGAGCTTGTGCCAAACCCGGCTGTGAAGATTTGTCTTTGTTCAGGAAACGGTGACACTGTGCACTACTGCGGGCTGTTCTTCACAGAGGATCCAAGCATGAATTCGAGTAAGGATGAGCTGCTGCGCAGCTCTCAGCGAGAGCTGAGGAAGGAGGCATCTGATGACATCATGATGCCCAAGACATCGCAAGACACAATGAAGAACGATGTGCCAGGCAAGCGTCCAAAGACGGCGCCATGACCTGAGCGATGCCGTTGTGGTTCGGTTTTAGAATTCTGGAGCTTGGTTTCAGAAATTAGCATTTACAGGTTCTAAGCAGTTTAGGGCTTGCGGTTGGTTTTGCTTTCAGCTCATGAGCGTCCTTGGCTTTGCGCCGGCCGACGCGCTGGTCGAATGTCCACATGCAATCACATGCATACAAAGCTCCACCCCCTCTAGGTTTTGAAAACTTCAGTGCCACCTATTTCAGCACAAGCTGGAAAACAGATAACTTCTGACTGAAAGGTCTTGAAGAGCTCTTCCAGAAGGCTCAGGACTTCCGCAGAGTAGCAGCCATCCTTTGATTCATGCCAGTGCGAAGCTGCCTTTGCGATTTCGAATGCGCCTTTCCAACAAAATCGCATTTCCGTGTCTCTCCAGGAGGAATTTCGAAAGGCCTGTATCGAGCAAGGGATTTCTTGCAGCTTATGTAGATGTGGAGTTTCCCATCCTTTTGTATTGGTTGTCGCATCTGGACTTGAGGCTGTGGAGTGGCGAAGAGAGGCACGAACCTTGAAGGCCTTCCTGGTAGACCGCGACCATACGCTCACCGTAAAGAGATCGCTGCGGGCTGACTGCTTATTGCGTGCAATATCTTTCAGAAACAAAGTCTAAGATGCTTTGGGCGTCAGGGGACCGTGAACAACGAGATTGAGACACGTGAGAAGCTCCAGAAAAAAGTTCAGGCCCTGGTGACTGTTGCAGTTCACCCACTTTGAGCGCAAATGCTATCGGGGAAAGGATGATATGCAGTGAGTCTTGTCTTATCATGCTTATCGTTTTACGTACTCTACAACCACCACATGCCAGGCATCACCTGGAGTTGTACTGCTCTTTGCATCGCAAAGTTGCTAAGTCCTTTCGGTTCGCCTCCGCCGGAAGGAGCTTCTGCGGCGAGAGAAGGCGCACGTGGGAAGGGGGTGGAGTAAGTGCCGGAACCCTGTTTCGACATTTTTCAGTTTTTCGCGCAGTTTGCCGTCTGGTCAAGCAGCGTTTCTGTTGATTTGCCTGGGGATGCAAGTATATAACGGAAAGCATGCGTACTTATCTTGTACGAAGAGTATATGCTATCCTCGTGCACGCCATGCTGTTCGGTTCACAGTGTATTGCGAAAGCTCTTGAGCTGCTCAGGCCCTGAAGCAACAACATGAGCTCGAGCGAAAGCCGCGCCCTCGAGTAACACACTGTGAAGACACGGTGCTTGTTGTTGTCGTGGCTGTAGGCGCTGGGCAGAGGAGAAGGAGACGCTGCCAACATCTGCAAACTGTCAGCAGCACCAGGTGTAAGTTTGTAAGTGTGTGACATCCGTGAGTGCAGGAGACCAAGAGAGGCGGAGAGTGACAGAGAGCCGGTGTGCAGGGAGAGGAGAAGGTGGGCTGAGAGTGGCGGGTTGGGGCGACGCGCAATGCGGAGCTGCCGACGGCGATGGCGAACAGAGCACTGAGACTGGAGGCCACTCGAAGGTGCCACGTGCTAGTATCATTGTTTGTGTTGCTACTGCGGTGACCTCAAGTATGGAAGAAGACAGGGAGACGAAAAGAAAGGCTTCGAGCAACCTTGCAGCCGTGGTACTGGCTTCGCATCACAGGAGCAGCTACAGAAGCAAGCTTTGCACGGCACCTGGTGAAGGGTTTCCTGAGTCAACGGTGGCTTGAGCTGTAGTGGCTGTAGTGTTAAAGGCATCCAAGCTTGCAGGGCGGACCTAGGCCCGGCAGAAGGCAGGAGGGATCCTTCCCCTTCCTTCGGCCTTCGGTGGAATCTTCCCAACCCAAGAGCCCGGGAGCCATGGCCTTCGGTGCGCGAGGTGCCAGCCCGCCGCAGCTCTCGGGCGACAGCTTTGACCTGCAGATGACGCTCCTCGCTTTGTGCAAGTGCCTTCATGAGTCTGGCCAGGTCCCTGCAAGTCGACTGGCCATCGAGTTGCACAAAGTGCGTTTCTCTACAATGAAGCAGCTGCACCCAATCAACACGGAGTGCTCTTTTCAGAGGGCTATGCGGTCGGAAAGAATTCTTACCCAATGCGTGGAGTATGCCGACCGTTTCTTGGCCATAGAGCTCTTCAACACATGTAAGGTGCTGGCCAAAGGTTTGAGATCCAATCCGCAACTACTTCCGGGTGTTCATCTGGCTCTAGGGCCCCAGATGTGGGAATGGCATCCGCAGCCAGGAACATTGCGCCTGCTCGGTGATTGCATCCCACGAACCCAGACCTTCCGTTCCACGCTTGCGCAGCAGCGCGACGTGGTGGTGATTTCCGGAGGCATTATGCTTGGCTTAAGCAAGTCAAAGGTGATGACTGGTCGGGGTCTCTTATCCTGATTCTTCCCAAATTAGTAAACACTAAGCCGACGTGACGGCAGGCTGACGGCAGGCAAGTTGAATTTGGATCTGAGATTGCCTTTCATCTCTACTCGTTGGAAGTGAGTCTGCATACCGTTCAACACTTATGTAGGCGTCCCAATCTGCTTCGCGTGTGCAGCCGCGCTGCGAGGTGGATTTGGAAGTGCCGTCCGGCGTGTGACGAAATCGGCATCGCTGCTCATGAAGACTGCAGGTTCCTGGGAGAACCTTCCGCCAATGGTAAAGAAGCGCGAGTTTCATGCCGCTACTTTCTTGAATGGCAAGCTATACGTTTGTGGAGGCCTTAATGACGATCTTGAGCAGGAAAAGGCCGGGGAAGAGGCAGTTCATGGCTCTGTCGAGTGCTTCGATCCTCGGACAAAGACCTGGAGACAGCTCCCGCGGATGTCCGTGCGACGACACCACCATGAATGCACGTCTCATCTTGGATGTATCTTCGTCTCCGGGGGCATCTCCCCTGATCGACCTGGAGGCGAAGGGCCGCTTGCGAGCGTCGAGTGCTACGATCCTTCGAAGCAGCGCTGGTCTCAGATGCCAGCGATGTCCACCGAGCGCAAGGGTCACACTGCAGCCAGCGTCAACGGCAAGCTTTTCGCTTGCGGTGGGGGTTCTGCTCCTGCATGTCTCATCGAGCACTTGGATGATTCCCTGCGCTTTTGGGTCCCAGGCCCAAGTAACGGAACAGAGGTTGTCCAGACGTGCTTGGCATCTACCGGTTGTCAGGGGCAGTTGTACATATTGACCCACGAGGTTGCTCCGACAATTCTACCTGACCAGATCTTTCTGCAAAGGTTCAATCCGATGACTGGTGAATGGAAGGTGATGCCTCTGGAAGTCCTCATTCAGTAGCAGCAAGCAGCGACTATTTGCATGAGTGCTTTGTTGCGTTGAATTCGGCTGACTCTAGAAGATAAGTAAGCAATTCATGGTCTTGCCCGTAGCACGTTGGCTCCAAATGGCAGCTGTTCTCCTGTCTTCACGGTAGCCTCGTGAAATGCCACACCCGACTTGTACAAAATGTTGGCATCTCCTCGCGGCCGCGCGGCATGAACTGCCATTTTAAGGTTGTGGTGGTCTCGATCCGCTTGTTGCAGAGTTCAAAAAGCCAAGACGCACCGGCACTTCTGCCCCGCTACTGAATTACTCTTGACATGCAAACAAGCCGTGGCTGGCCAACTTCAGAGTTGCAAGGCTTTGGCAAACCGAGACTTCTGTAGCACAGGAGGCCCTCGCACCAGCACCCTCCATGGCTGCCTCGAGCGACTATTTGCACTGTGTGCGTGTGTGCAGCAGTGTGTACTGAGGCTTCAACAAGAGGCTCAGCTGAGGCATCGTGGAACTATGCGGAGCTGTGGGGCTGCTTTGAACTAGGCCGTCCGACTTTCTGAATGACTTGCAGCCGCTTCATCACAAGACCCAGACAGCTGTAGATGCAACCCTGCAACCTGATGCTCTCTGCATAAAAAAACAGGTTCGCAACTGCAACCCCCGAGCAGCAGACACATGCGACAGAACTCTGTGAGACAACCTAATGGGGCTAAGCGTCCTTATCTCGGCATGCTCTGCCTGGGCTCTGGCAGCCGAGCCAGCAGAGTCGCCCATCGAATGGGTGACCTGGCACCAAAGCCGTGAATAGGCTTGAAGGCTTTAAGGGCAGCTTAGCGATGGGTTGAAACACGCAACTTGGACGGCGACATGTAGCTGCTGCGTGCCTCAGGCGGCAGACGCACGTGTCGGCACGCATGCCGTAGAGGAGCCGTTGCCCCCTTACAGAAGAGCTGATTGCCCATGCAGGTTGTGGGTGCCAGGGATGCGGACTGCGAGACCGTCTGCTCCGGCTTGGACTCCGAGCGCCCGGGTGTTGCTTTACTAAAACACGGTTGCTCCTGACTCCTGCTCCTCTTTGTGTTTCCTCTTGTCAAACGGCACCACGAGCACGAACACATATCCGTACTTGTGTAAGTATGCCCGTATCCCGGTCGCCGGCGGTACCACGGTTTGTGAGGCTGAATCTTACAGAAGCCTGGAATGCGTTGAAGCAGCAAAAACAGGGAAAAACAGACGTCGTCATGATGCCAATTTCTATTTCTGTGCTATTTCATTTCTAGTGTTGTTTTGCTTTGGTTTCTACGTCTCCGCTATTTTATTTCTATTTTGCTCCTATTTTATTTCTATTTTAGAAATCTCCTGTCGGGACAGTATAAGATTGAGAAAACATGGACATCAAACAGGAAAAATATACATAAACTGGTGAAAATAGAAACCGAACCAGAACGAACACAGAAAGTGGCGTCGAGCATCGGTTCCATTGTTGCGTTCCTTCTATTTTGCTTACTTTGCATTCTAATCTAGTTGTTTACATATTCCAGGCTTATGTAGGAATTCAGCCTCACAAACCATGGCAGCGAACAAAGGTCCAATGCGTCGAGCTCAGGTGCGATGAGGGTTCCTGGCCAAGCAGCCCCCAAGATTGGGAAGCCGTAGCAAGCTCCACATCAGGAGCGGTGGTGTTGGAATCGGCATGGCTCTAGACCTCAAAATGCCCGCTGCCTCTGTCTTGGAGTCTTGGAGGACTTCTTTGCCTGGCATCAGCTCCGGGCGGCTGGCTGCACAACCCGTCCATCTGCACAGAAGGAGGTCCAGCACCTGGCGATACTGGGCGGCATCGGCATTGCAAGGGTCGCACTGCAAGAAACTTGACCTGCCTGCCACAGTTTTTCACCCCTGAATCCAGGTGTGCTTCTGGGACGGTGGCGACTCAGAGAAATCAAATAGATGAGTAAATCCGTGTCTGCGGTTTCGACCACCTTGGATGATATTAACCTCCTGGCAAGGTTGAGGATTCAAGGCTGCATATTGGGGAGGGGCCAGCTGTGGTCACTTTTCCAAGAGTCGTGGATTCTGTGGACACGTCATTAGTGATGATTCGGGCGCGAATGTCTTGCTAGGGGTGGTGATGTAATGGAGAATTGAATGCAAAGTCCTATTTAAGGGGGCGGCCCGCGCTGTCGTGGTGGGATGGGGCAGTTCCCCTCCACGGTGGCCCGGCGAATCTGTCCCTGCCGACGCAAGGAGGCATGGCGGTAGCTTGCTGGTCATCTTAGGTCAGGGTGTGTGCTTGCCAGGTCAAGGACGACAGTGCCGCTGCAGTCATGTCCTTGCTGAATGCTGCTGCCGGAATCCGAGGCTCCAAGGTCTGGGTGTGTGCGGAGCGGAAGCAGATCACATGCTTGACGTTGCTGTGATCCTTGCCGAGGTCTTGACATCCGCATCCAAAGTGGGCGTCAAGGAGCCGCTCAAGATGCCGGCAGAGTGGCTTGGACGGTTGTCGCAGAAAGTAGCTAGCAGCATCACGTTCATTTATGCTGCCATTCTTGTGCTGCTCCGTTTGTCCGCATGCAGCCAGGGTGCAGAGCCTTTGCCCGAGCTGGAATGGGGGCTGCAAGGCTGGTGCAGACTCTCCGCTTCCTCTCTCCCTCGCTCCCTCCCTCTCTCCCTCCCCTTCTCCCTTTCCTTCGCTAGCCTTCCTTCTGTCTCCCGATTACACACACGGACACTCACGCACACGCGCACGCGCACACTCTCGCTCTCTCTCTGTCACTGTGTCTATATCAGCAGACAGCAAGTTGAAATCGGACGGCCAGGCTATGCCCCGGTGGATCGATTTTCTTTGGGCATCCCGCACCTTGCATAAGGTTACTTCTATCTTCGCTCGATGGCACCTGCTGACTCTTGGCCGAGGACACCGAGCCCGACAGCGAGGGACGGTTGTTGCCAAAGTGCAACTCAGACGATGAGAGTCGCTTCTGACAAAGTCTCTGCTTTAGACATGTTGTGCTGCTGTGTGTTAGTGGTTGCCGCCGACACGTGTATCTCATTGCACTGTATGGCACCCTTCAGCTCTTCCTGGAAAGCTGAGTGTTCTTCGCGCGTGAACGATCGCAGGCCATTTCTTGAGACTTTCGGGGATCGTATGTTTTTGCCGAGCGGCCCCGTCCTCAGCATTTACGAGAAGCGGTGAGGAAAGCTTGGGCTGTTTTGTTTGGTGAGGCAGGGTCCCACTTCACACGCACGAGCCTGCTGCGTGAACCTTGGCACAGAACTACAGTGGCGTGTATCCTTGGCTGCATACCACCCTGATGCAGCCAGAATAAGCTGAGGGTCAAGTCTGCTGACTTCGTGCAATGGATAGAAAGCAGATTGGTTCCTGATGCGTGCGAGCGTACAAACACAGCTGACACACTGAAACCAGCATCACGCGACCGTATTAACCGTGCCACTGGAGCTGCAGGTTTCCCTGAGGCGACGCCCAGGCAACTGCGCTAGTACTCAGTTCCATTGGCTTTGTGAGCCTGCGCATTGGCTCCACGGAGGTTCATTGGAAATTCCAGTGCAGAGTGAGACGGCTATAGATGAGGCCCGGGAAAGCCGACTGAGCTGATGCACCTCACAGTGCCTTTGAATTGACCAGGGCATGACCGGCGAAGAGCACCAGGTGCTGCTGAAAGAGAGGGCTTCGGCTGTGCCACGAGTTGGAAACCTCGAGATATCACGTGGGTGTCGCGCCAGAAAGTGTTAGAACATGCTTTGTGGGACTGCCACTCTCAGCTTCTGGGGGTTGGCCTTGCTGGAGTCCTGCCAGATTGACGCGGACGAGCTGCTCTACCAGGCTGCCGATGCGTGGGCGACCTGGACGGGGTCTGGGGCCCTTGTGATGAAATGGTGAGAAGGTCCACTGTGGCAGGGGTCTTTCAAAACTTAGCTTAGATGGATATGAGTTCGGCCCATGATTGTTTGCCTGTCCAGCATATTTTGTATGGGCACATGTGGCGAATGCACATGACCGGATGGAAACAGCAGGGGCAAGTTTTGATAACTAACAATGCGGAGCTTAGCTTTATTGACTCAGCTGCTGGGCGCTGAGGTGGAGCTCCCACGGTTCGACATCCACGGCACGTCTTTCCAAGCCACGGCGAGAGGCTTGTTCTGTCAGGTACTCTGCGTGGATTTCACTTCCGTTACACGGGCTGATGCGAGAATATTTTCCCGGATGCTGAAAGCCGGCTGCAGACAAATCGCAGGGCGTGCCCGGACCATTGACGCTGGTTTCTGCTTGGTGGTCCGTCGACACCGTCATGGCAGATGTCTCGGCTGTCGGTTCTGCTGTGCGGGAGTACACGCAGTCTGTATTCTCAGCGAGCTGCCGCATGTGTCAGACGGCAGCCACGTGAACTGAAGGTTCGGGGCCCACGTGGGCTGTGGGGTTGTGCAGCGCTGCTTGCCTCAGAGACTCTCGGCCGCACCCTGCTGTGATTCCTGAACCTGTGCTGCGAGAGTCAGCATGTCGCGGCATGTCGCGGCCAGCAAACCGGCCAGGCCGTTGAAGAATCAGGACTCGATGCCGGTTCCTTTCATCCGTTCCGGCAAACAGATGAACATTTGTTGGGGTCTGCACGCCATGAACCTGTAGCGCAAGACGTCTCAGAAGGCAATGTTAGCTTCAATGTTATGCAATGTTTGCAAACCGTGCAGCCATATGGGCCCATCACGCAGAAAGACACGCATATCAGACAACTGCATACCAACAACTGGAGTCTACAACCACTTGAGTCAGCGAGCCGTCGGTTTGCTCGCCTTCGTGCGTTGCGCTTCCTGCCCGGTCTTCATGTTCGAGGCATCGGAAAGCCATGGCGAGCGACAAGCAAGTCCTAGCAGCGATAACCATGAAGACTGGAGGCGATGTTCGCTATTTCGAGCTAATTCAGCTGACTTGTGGAGATGATCGCCGAAAGTGTTATGTCTGTGTCGGAAAGCACTCGCTATTCTTCCTGAGGCAGGACCTGAATGGGCCCATCCATGATGGTGCAGATGTCTACTACAGCTCTATTGCCAAAATACTCCAGGATGAGAATTCCGACCAGCACTGCCTGCTGTCATTCACGGAAGAGCTACCAGGATGGCCCTCCGACAGGTTGTTCCTGAAAGCCGAAAACCGCTCCCTCTTCTTGCGACACTTCCGATGCAACTGGCAAACAGACCACATGTGGCGGCTAGGTCGGGTGGTGATTTTCCCATTAAGCCTTTATCCAATTACGAAGGAGACTTCTTACGATAATTACGTCGCGCCGTACCAGGGATATCGCTGGACAAAGTTCCAGGGATACCGCTTCATGGTGCCGGAAGGTTTTGTTGACCAGGCCAACTCTATTCAGGAAGAGGAGACTGGAGAGTATGTGAACGAACAAGGCGTCAGCCTTGTTGTTCACGTGCATGAGGCTTTTAGTCTAGAGCAGCTCGCGCAGATGAATCGGGACAACATTCGATGGGTCGCAGCAGACTACAAGATGCAGCTATGCGCTAACGAAGCGCAGTTCTACGTCTTGAAGAACGCGCCGCGGGACAAGCACATGAATCTTTCCGCGGATGTCGCACAGTGGCACCAGTGGGAGCTGTTAATCCGCACGCGATCGGCAACGATCATTTGTCTCATCATGCGTCGGCAATACATTCCACCGGTTTGCTGCGCTGCACAAGACATTGCTGTCCTCCTTCGCTGCCCGGAGGAAGAGTGGAAGCGTGCAGAGCTTCCTCTGGTGCTGGAAGCTTACCGGATTGCTGATTCGCTTTGCACGGACGCTCCGAACGTTTCAGTGTATCGTGACATGGTACAAGCCAAGCTGGACACGCTTCGGTTCAACGAAGAAGGGGCGGAATGGGCAGCTGCGCACTTGAAGCTGAAGTCGTGCTGGGAGGTCGAGGCAGTGAGGTTTGTGAAGAGCCTTTGGAAGCTGTACTGCGATGACAAGGTGGAAGGCTACGACCCTCAAGTCCTCGAGCTTTCCGCTCAAGAAGTGCTGGTGGATGCAGGCCCTGAGGATCAATGGGGCCAGCTGGAATGCATTGACAATTTTCACGACTTCTTCCTCAAGCTTATGAAGGAGGGAGAGGGTCTTCCGTCAGGCGTTCAGGCGGAGGCCCTTGACGAAGAGGCCATTCCTTGCAGCCCGTGTTTTGCTAGGTATGCAGCCACTACTGTAGCAGGATATGCGCATGTGCATGTAACGCACCAGCGAGCTTTTCTTGCTGAGCATTCTTGGCAGGGTGAGCTTAACTGTCGAGTCTGTCAGCAGCTAGCTAAGGCCAAACTTAAGATCCAGCACAGCTGGCTTGCCCGCATTGCCCGCTACTTTGCTTGGGCGGTCGATGGTGGGCTCTTGGGGGCACGGTTCAACTTGGACCTGATGATCGAAGGACCCAGTGAAATGCCGGGATTGAGGCGGTCCGTGGCGTAGCTGACAAAAAGCAAAACAGACACACACACACACACACACGCACACGCGCACGCGCACGCACGCACGCACGCACACGCACGCACGCACGCACGCACGCACGCACACACACACACACACACACACATGCCTATCTACCTACCTACCTACCCACCGACCGACCGACCTGCCTGCCTGCCTGCCTGCCTACCTACCTACCTAATT